CCTACAAGTTATAAACTTACCTCACTAACGTTAGGACAAACCGGGCCTACACAGTTTATACAACTTACCCTTCACAACGTTAGGACAAACCTGGGCCTACACAGTTTATAAAACTTACCTTCACAACGTTAGGACAAACCTGGACCTATACAGTTTATAAAACTTACCCTTCACAACGTTAGGACAAACCTGGACCTACATAGTTTATTAAACTTACCCTTCACAACGTTAGGACAAACCTGGGCCTACACAGTTTATAAAACTTACCCTTCACAACGTTAGGACAAACCTGGACCTACATAGTTTATTAAACTTACCCTTCACAACGTTAGGACAAACCTGGACCTACATAGTTTATAAAACTTACCTTCACAACTTTAGGAGATGTTGGGACCTATACAGTTTATAAAACATACCTTTACAACGTTAGGACACATTGGGATCTAAATAGTTTATAAACCGTACCTTTACAGCGTTAGGACATGTTGGGACCTACATAGTTTATAAACCGTACCTTTACAGCGTTAGAACATGTTGGGACCTACATAGTTTCTAAAACTTACCTTCACAACGTTAGGACATATTGGGACCTATATTGTTTATAAAACTTACCTACACAACGTTAGGACATATTGGGACCTACATAGTTTATAAAACTTACCTCCACAATGTCACTTATGATGGAGAATCTGAAAGGCCAGTCTATCTTCATACTATCGTTGCTTAAGAGGTCCTACGAGTGAAACTTAGGGATTAGTTTTCAAACTAGACTTCTCTTACACGTTATATATAAATAAAAACACAATTATACAATTCTGATTGAAGACTAACGTTATACACTACTGGTTCAAGACTAGTGTTATACAATACTGGTTCAATACCAGTGTTATACAATACTGGTTCAAGACTAACGTTATACAATACTTAATCAAGACTAGTGTTATATATCACTGGTTCACTACTGATGTTATACAATACTAGTTCAAGACTAACGTTATACAATACTTAATCAAGACTAGTGTTATATATCACTGGTTCACTTCTGATGTTATACAATACTGATTCAAGACTAACGTTATACAATACTTAATAAAGACTAGTGGTATGTATCACTGATACATTACTGATGTTATACAATATTGGTTCACTACTGATGTTATACAATACTGGTTCAAAACCAGTGTTATACAGTACTGGTTCAAGACTAACTTCAGACAATACTTAATCGAGGCTAGTGTCATATATAACTGGTTCACTACTGATGTTATACAATACTGTGTCAAGACTAAGGTCATACACGACTTCATCAAGGCTAGTGTTATATATCACTGGTTCACTACTGGCTCAAAAACAACAAAGAAATGAAACTGTGTTTTTTTAGAGTAGTAAATATAAAGAAATACATGCTCTAGTATTCAATTTTGAAAACAATAACAATAAGTTCGAAAGCTGTTTCATGTACTTTCAGGGTTTGTATCTAAATTAAAAAAGGCTTAAGACACTCCTACTAATACATAAACATCAGTGAGAGAAATGCTAGAATGTATGTTTAGAACGTTAGAAGACTTTGATATAACACACTTGAACTTAGAGGACCATTAGGTTAGAGTATAATGAAGTTATTAGAAGAACTAAGATCAGTCCCATATCTGGTATAGTGTCTTAAACTTACCTGTAGCGTTCCCCTGGGGCAGTGTTCCATTAGCAGTGAAACATTAGGTTCTTCAGGACTCAGGCCGATAAATCGTACCAAATTTTCATGAGTTATATCCCTTATCTGACGAGAAACAGAAGAAATATTTTTGAATATTTACTAGATTTATGGCCGTTGTTTAAATTAATAAGGAATCGGACACTATGTTCAAACTCGGAGGTTCTAAAGAGGTAAAACATAAATCATCTTTGATCATATTGGATACTAATCCACTAAGAACTGTCACCAATACAAAAATGTTGTTTAAAAGAGTAGAGGTTTCTGTCTTTGAAAAAGTTGAATAACGTCAAAGACTCCTTTGTCTGATATCAAGTACAACGATAAACATGTAAGAAAATATATATACACCAAACCAAACATTCATTTCTTTTATGAGTGAAAAACACATATGATAACTAACACACGATATAAGGTATCGTATTTTTGTGTTAAAGTTATTTCTTGAACCTACTTGTTTTCCTAACATCACGGACATGATATGTTAAAGTACGAGTTCTGTATAAAAAGAGAGCATTTATTTAGAGAAAAACTACTTGAAACAAAACCGTTTAATTAGAGAAAACTATTTACTTGAAACAAAACCGTTTAATTAGGGAAAACTACTTACTTGAAACAAAACCGTTTAATTAGAGAAAACTATTTACTTGAAACAAAACCGTTTAATTAGAGAAAACTATTTACTTGAAACAAAACCGTTTGATTAGGGAAAACTACTTACTTGAAACAAAACCGTTTAATTAGAGAAAACTATTTACATGAAACAAAACCGTTGAATTAGAAAAACTACTTACTTGAAACAAAACCGTTTACTTAGATAAAACTACTTACTTGAAGGTTTCAAGTAAATAGTTTTCTCTAATTAAACGGTTTTGTTTCAAGTAAATAGTTTTCTCTAATTAAACGGTTTAGTTTCAAGTAAGTAGTTTTATCTAAGTAAACGGTTTTCAAAACCGTTTGATTAGAGAAAACTACTTACTTGAAACAAAAAAGTTTATTTAGATCAAATATATCTAATTGGAATAAAACAGTTTAGTTAGAGCAAAACCAGTTACTTGGAGCAAAACTGTTTATTTAGAGAAAACTATTTACTTGGAGGAAAATAGTTTAGCTAGAGCAAAACTATTTGCTTGGAGCAAAACAGTTTAGTCAGAGCAAAACAATTTACTTGGAGCAAAACCGTTTACTTAGAGAAAACTATTTACTTGAAACAAAACCGTTTATTTGGAGAAAACTATTTACCTGAGTAAAACAGTTTACTTAGAGAAAACTATTTACTTGAAACAAAACCGTTTATTTAGAGAAAACTAATTACTTCGAGCAAAACCTTTTAGTTAGAGCAAAACTATTTGCTTGGAGCATAACAGTTTAGTTAAAGCAAAACCATTTATTTGGAGAAAAACAGTTTAGTTAGAGCAAAGCGATTTACTTGGAGTAAAACAGTTAACTTAGAGAAAATTATTTACTTGGAACAAAACTATTTACTTGGTGCAAAACAGTTTAGATAGAAAAACTATTTACTTCGAGTAAAACAGTTTACTTAGAGAAAACTATTTATTTGAAACAAAACCATGTATTTAGAGAAAACTATTTACTTGGAGCAAAACAGTTTAGTTAGAGCAAAACCAGTTAATTGGAAGAAAACAGTTTACTTAGGGAAAACTATTTACTTGAAACAAACCGTTTATTTAGAGAAAACTATTTGCTTGAAACAAAACCGTTTATTTAGAGAAAATTATTCACTTAGAGCAAAACCTTTTAGTTAGAGCAAAACCATTTACTTGGCGCAAAACAGTTTAGTTAGAACAAATCCACCTATTTGGAGCAAAACAGTTTACTTAGAGCAAAACCACTTACTTTGAGCAAAACAGTTTAATTAGAGCAAAACCAGTTATTTGGAGCAAAACAGAGTAGTTAGAGAAAACTATTTACTCCAAGCAAAACTAGTTGCTTCGAGCTAAACAGTTTAGTTAGAGCAAAACCGTTTATTTAGAGAAAATTATTTACTTGAAGCAAAACAGATTAGTTAGGGCATAACTATTTCTTTGGAGTAAAACAGATTACTTAGAGAAAACTATTTTCTTGGAGCAAAACAGATTTTAGAGCAAAATCATTTACTAGTAGCAAAAACGTTTACTAACAGAAAATTATTTACTTTGAGCAAAACAGTTTAATTTGAGCAAATCCACTTACTTGGAGCAAAACAGTTTAGTTTGAGCAAGTCCACTTACTTGAAGCAAAAAAGTTTAGTTAGAGCAAAACCACTTACTTGGAGCAAAACAGTTTAGTTAAAACAAAACCAGTTATTTGGAGGAAAACAGATGAGTTAGAGAAAACTATTTACTTGGAGCAAAACAGTTTAGTTAGAGCAAAACCATTTACTTTGAGAAAACTACTTACTTGGAGGAAAACAATTTAGTTAGAGCAAAACCATTTACTTGGATTAAAACAGTTGACTTAGAGAAAACCATTTACTTGGAGCAAAATTATTTACTTTGAGCAAAACAGTTTGTTTAGAGCAAAACAAATTAGTTAGAAAAAACTATTTATTTGGAGCAAAACCGTTTAGTTAGATCAAAACTATTTACTTGGAGGAAAACCGTTTAGTTAGAGTAAAACTATTTATTTGGAGTAAAACCGTTTACTTAAAGAAAACTACTTACTTGGAGTAAAACAGTTTACTTAAAGAAAACTACTTACTTGGAGTAAAACAGTTTAGTTAGAACAAAACCATTTACTTGGATTAAAACAGTTTAGTTAGGGCATAACTATTTACTTGGAGTAAAAAGGTTTACTTAGAGACAATTATTTACTTGGAGCAAAACTATTTACTTGGAACAAAACAGTTTACTTAGAGACAATTATTTACTTGGAGCAAAACTATTTACTTGGAACAAAACAGTTTAGTTAGGGCAAAACTATTTTATTGGAGTAAACTATTTTAGAGAAAACTATTTACTTGAAACAAAACTATGTATTTAGAGAAAACTATTTACGTGGAGCAAAACCGTTTACTTAGAAAAAACTATTCATGTGGAGAATAACCGTGCATTTAGAGAAAACTATTTACTTGGAGCAAAACAGTTTACTTAGATAAAACTATTTACTTGAAACAAAACCGTGTATTTAAAGAAAACTATTTACTTGGAGCAAAACAGTTTAGTTAGGGTAAAATTCTTTACTTTGAGCAAAATAGTTTAGTTAGAGCAAAACCATTTACTTTGAGAAAACTACTTACTTGGAGTAAAACAGTTTAGTTAGAGCAAAACCAGTTACTTGGATTAAAACAGTTTACTTAGAGAAAACCATTTACTTGGAGCAAAATTATTTACTTTGAGCAAAACAGATTAGTTAGGGCATAAATATTTCTTTGGAGTAAAACAGATTTCTTAGAGAAAACTATTTACTTGGAGCAAAACAGTTTAGTTAGAGCAAAACCACTTACTTGGAGGAAAACAGTTTACTTAGAGAAAACTATTTACATGAAACAAAACCGTGTACTTAGAGAAAACTATTTACTTGGAGAAAAACAGTTTAGTTAGAGCAAAACTCTTTACTTGGAGCAAAACACTTTAATTAGAGCAAAACTATTTACTTGAAACAAAACCGTTTATTTAGAAAAAACTATTTATATAGAGCATAACCTTTTAGTTACAACAAATCCATTTACCTGGAGCAAAACAGTTTACTTAGAGCAAAACCACTGACTTTGAGCAAAACAATTTATTTAGAGCAAAACCAGTTATTTGGAGCAATACACTTTAATTAGAGCAAAACTATTTACTTGAAACAAAACCGTTTATTTAGAGAAAACTATTTACTTGGAGCTAGACCTTTTAGTTAGAACAAATCCATTTACCTGGAGCAAAACAGTTTACGTAGAGCAAAACAGTTTATTTAGAGCAAAACCAGTTATTTGGAGCAAACCAGTTATTTGGAGCAAAACAGATTAGTTAGAAAAACTATTTACTTGGAGCAAAGCCGTTTAGTTAGAGCAAAACTATTTATTTGGAGTAAAACTGTTTACTTAAAGAAAACTATTTACTTGGAGCAAAACAGATTAGTTAGAAAAACTATTTACTTGGTGCAAAACCGTTTAGTTAGAACAAAACTATTTACTTGGAGCAAAACTGTTTAGTTAGAGCAAAACTATTTATTTGGAGTAAAACTGTTTACTTATAGAAAACTATTTACTTGGAGCAAAACCATGTACTTGGAGCAAAACAGTTTAATTAGAACAAAACAGTTTAGTTAGAGCAAAACCATGTACTTGGAGCAAAACAGTTTAGTTAGAGCAAAACAGTTTAGTTAGAGCAAAACAGTTTAGTTAGAACAAAACAGTTTAGTTAGAGCAAAACAGTTTAGTTAGAGCAGTACCATGTACTTGGAGCAAAACAGTTTAGTTAGAGCAAATCCACTAACTTGTATCAAAAAAGTTTAGTCAGAGTAAAACCGTTTAGTTAGAGCAAAACTATTTATTTGGAGTAAAACTGTTTACTTAAAGAAAACTATTTACTTGGAGCAAAAAAGTTTAGTTAGAGCAAAACCATTTACTTTGAGAAAACTACTTACTTGGAGTAAAACAGTTTAGTTAGAGCAAAACCATGTACTTGGAGCAAAACAG